AAATATTCAACACAAAGACTACAACTGGAAAGCTTCAACAACTATCTACTGAAGATTTATTATCTCTTACTAAAAAAAGTGTTTGGAAGAAAAATTTTTATCTAATACTATGCATGTTAATTTAAGTGATAACAATTCAAAAGGTGAAAAGGATCAAAAAGGTAAAAAACGTCATATTCATTCAATTCCTGGTGAGCGTCAATCTAGCAAGGTGAATAAAATGGATAAGATGGATTTATTTTTGAAAAAGTAAGCTGCTGTATTGAGTGCAAAAGAATAAGATGCTAAATAAAAAGTTGAGAGATACAAATTATTTACTAATAGTGAAAGTATCAATTATGATTTTTCTTCTAATCCTTATTCTATAAGTATATGCATGGGTCTTTTGAAAAAATTGAAAGGTGTTTCTTTCTGTTGTTATAAAAAGTAATAGAAAAGTTCACATCAATAAAATAGAGACATATTTTTGTTGAAATGCTTGATGTGAGATGAAAAGATTAGGTTGATAGTCTTACTTAAGCTTAGTTTTTTTTTCACTTATCAATAATTGACTTCTATTTGACTTCTTTTTTTATGTTATGTAAAAATATTCTAACATTCAAATGTAAAATGTACAGAATATATGATGATATTTTATTATTAAATTATAAAATTTATGGTTATTGAATGAATAATAAATATTTTTTCTGCTTTGTTATAGTAACTATTATAGCAAGTATAATGCATTAATAAAGCATTAATAGTTGTCATTTTTACAAGTAATTATAGTGAGTATTAGCTCTAATTCAGAAAGTTCGTTTGATTTAGATGATGAAATGGGGTAATTTATCTTATAAATTCTGTCAGTGAGTACTACAAGACCAACTTACCTAAGATGCCATGTAGAACTTCTATATTAAGTAGAAAGGCATATGTTATGGAGATTTTAAATAAAAATCTTACAGCATGTTATGAAATATTTTGTATAAGAAAACACGTTTTTATTTTTTAATATTTGTGATAGGTTAAAAATAGAACATCTTTTACAAAATTAAAAATTGGTATCTATGGAAGAAGTAGTTGCAATGTTTTTATATATAATTGGTCACAATGAACATAAAAAGTTACGAGTGGTCAATTGCAACATTCAACTAAGATTGTTTCTTCATGGTTTGAAAAATTTTTTATTGTTGGTTGTAAATTAGGAACTAAAATTATTTGTCCTAGAAATCGAGGTGAGGTTTAACCATAAATTGCTAGAAATCCTGATTGGTTCCTATATTTTAAGGGATGTTATATATAATAATATATTTATATATTTTTTATTTTTTTGAAAATTTGTTTTTTTTTTATGTATAACAAAATTTTTATATATTTATTTTTATTAATTAAGGATTGTAATGGCACTTAAATATCTACTTGGGCTTCTGCATCGAAACAAGTACCATTTCAAAATAGAAAGCAAAAGATGTCACAAAATGTAATGGTAGCTTGCTTTCATGACATGTTTTTTACATTTGTGTGTGCTGGATAGAAGGAAACAACTCATGACATAAGAGTTTTTGTTGATGTAATATTAAGTAATTCTACTTCACAAAATTCTTTTCCAATGCCAAGTGCTTGTATATTTTAATTGTATAATTATTTATAAGAGCTACTTAATTGTTAATGTTGTTTTTGTTATTTTCATATTTTTTATGATATTGTAGCTAAATATTACATTGTGGATGTCGGATACCCAAACATACCTAAATTTTTTGTGCCATTTCATAGATAAAGATATCATGCATGAGACTTTATAAGCAGGCACCAACCAAGAAAGAAAGAAGAATTATTTAATATAAGGCACTATTCTATTCATAATGTGATTGAATGAAGTATCAGAGTGCTGAAAAAAATTGCCATATTGAGGGATATGCCTAACTATCCACTTAGAAAACAACGTCACATACCAAAAGCATGTTATACTGTACATAATTTCATTAGGTTGGAAGCTGAAAAAGATGAATTGTTTGAAAATGGTGAAGGAAAAAACATGCAAAAATATGAGAACACAAAAGCAACTTCTGCTAGTTTGAACATTGAGCATATTGCATTTAATATGTTACAAAACAGTTGAAATGGTTCAAGTTAGAGAAGAAATTGCTACATATTTATAAAATAGTTATAGGCAAAATTGAGATTTCAAAAACCATAACAATTAAAAGATCATGTTAGTTGTTCAATATTAAAGCACATTTTATTGTTCTTTTTGTTAACATTATGAATTGATTTTTATATGAATTTTTGTATTTATTTTAATTGCAATTTGCTTTTATTGTTTAATTACATTTTTAAAAGATGCAATTTACTTAACTATTTAATTATTATTTTTCATATTTTTTATTTTGAAAATATACATACCAAACACATTTTTACAATTTTCATTTTTAAAAACAAATTTTCATTTTATGTACCAAACATATTTTTTTTAAATTCAAAAAAGAAAAAGTTAAAATTATTTTCAAAAAATAAAAAAAAAAATTTCATTAACCAACCGCAACCAAAATTTTCTAATACCAAATTGCAAATCATGAATTATTTAGTGTCGCATATAATACAATTAATGGCACAGTCCAAAAATAAAGTTGCTCCCAAAAAGTAAGGCAAAGTAATAATTTTGCTCCTTCTAACCATAGCTTCAAACTATTTGCTTTGTCAACACGTTTTACATTTCTTACTTTTTTTTTAGGGACGTTTTCCATTTCTTTACTTAAACCCATTCAAGGACGAATATCACTTTTGTATGGTAAAAAATTGAAATTCTAAGTCCACCAAATGTAAAATTTCAATTATACAAATTCGAATTTTATTTTATCTATAAATCAAGCTTCAATTATAACTTTTAAATTTCAAACTAATTCGGTTCAAAATTTAATTTTGTTAATAAAATTTATTTTTTATTTTAAAATATTTAAATATTAATATTTATAATATTTTATTATAATTAAAAAATTCCAACCACCCACTTTAAAAAATCAATGGAATTTGATTAAATCCGAGATTTAGCATTTTTTTTTTTTGACAAAAAGCTTACAGTTTGATCTAATCTGCTAGCTTAAACTTAGAAAGCAAAAAAGTTCGACAAGAATTTTTCAAAGTTAGAATATTTAAAATTAACTCTACTTTAGCAGTCTTTTCACGTTTGTTTTAGGGAAAATAATAATTAAAAAAATAGAAATTTTCGAGGTGCTCATGTCCTCAACTTGCTCCCGTCAGGTCGGGTTGATATTTTAAAAGCGTGAAATCGGCCTGTCTTAAAGTATGTTAATTATTAAAAAAACTTTTATATTAATACTTTAGAATGTGTTTGATATGTAATAATATGATAAGATAAAATAAAATAATGTTGTAAATTAAATTAAATTATTTTATTTTATATTTGATATGTATAAAAATTAGAATAAAATAATTTATTTATTATTAAAATTATTTTTTAAAATTTATATAATTTAAATTATTGATATAATTTTTAAAATATAATAAAATATATAAATTCAATCTTATAAATTAAAAATAATTTTTTCACTTAAAAAAAATTAAATCATCTTATATCTAAAAAATTATTAATTTTTTAGTATCTTATTTTTATATGCAAATTAAATATAATATAAAATGATAAATATTATATCATATTCATCATTTTATATATCAAATATAATCTTAATAAATTTTATAATTAAAATTTAAATATAAATATATTATTTAATAATATAATAATAATAATTTTAAACTAAAATTTACAAATTCATGTCCAAAAGCCTGCTTGATTCATGTGGCAGCCGCAAGCATTAGTATGAGCTGGGAACACATTTAGATATCATAAATAATACTAATAAGTACACTGTCAGTCGAACTAATGAGTGTGATTATAGAGATTATATTTGATTTTTTTTAATTATAAATTTTATTTATTATTAGTAAATTAAATAATAATATTTTATAAATAAATAAATATTAATTTTAAAAAATATAAAAATTAATATTTTAAAAAAATTTACTTATTTTTAAAATTTTTTATTTTATTTATTTTATTAATAAAATAATATTATTTAATTTATTTATAATTTATAAAATTTATATATTAATAATATATCAAATATAAATTTTTAATTAATACATTCTTTTTCATTTTATGCATTAATTTGTACCCTATAAAATAAAAATTAATGGATAAAGGTTTTAGTTTTCTCTTCTTATCTTAACTTTATAAATAGAAATTGCAAATCTTCTTGATGCATTTAAAACCGTGCATAAAAACTTGTGTTTTTCATGCTTCTCTAGACAAAATAAATTAATTAATTAATTAAATTGGGTGGCTGTCATGCAATTTTAAAGTATGAAAGATAACATCAAAGATCATGACAGGGTAAAAGTTGACTAGGTGACTTCTTTTATTCTTTTATTAACACCTTCCTTATGGATGGATTGAAGTTTATTTTTTTATTTAATAAAAGACAAATTAGGTATTTTTTTACTTTTAGGCTCAATTATTGAGCTTCTCATTCATTTTAATACTTAATCATGATCAAAACTTAAATTAAAGTTTAAAAAGTAATAATTTTATTTGTGATTTATAATAATTATATATTTAATTTTCTACATTATTATTTTTCTATTAATTTAAAATCAAAGAAGTTAGTTAATATATTACGTAAATAAATAAATAAGAAATAAAATAATTATAAAAATAGTTAAAAAATAACTATTGTTGAAATTTTTTTCATTTTGATAAAATGAATTAGAAAATGATAAATTAAAGGATTCATTTGAATGTAAATAAATTTCAATAGGATGATTAGAGATTCATTTTGCTTAAACATAAATTTTTGTAAGCTATATGTACAGATATATTGTTAAAATAAATTTGTAAAAGATATAATATCCAAATAATCCTACAGTTTAGCTAAAAAATATTGATTAAAAATTTTAAAATATATATATTTTTTAAATATAAGAGCTCTACAATATAAGAGCTACAAGTAGTGGGAGTTATTTATTTGTTTGCACTAAGCTCCAGAAAAATGGTGGTCCAAAGACTCCAAAAATGGAGAAAGCAAAAATTGATTACAAATAAAAAACTTTGTATGAAACGAGGTAATGCATATAAACTGCTGAAACTGAAAGAAAAAAAAAGTGCCTAAAAGCCTAGCATTCTTTTCTCTTTAACTTTCATTATCAATTCTTCCTCAGATGGAATCTTGCCACCACTCCTTGTGGTTGCACGCCACCAGGCCATAAGCTCATCCTGCGAAATGCTTGGTTGGTTAGGCTGTCTACTCAAGCAAAATATGAACGTGAATGAGAGTTGGAATCGGATTTTATACATCACAAACTTTCAACCTAAGTAACCTCCCTACCAAGTTGGGTTCTAAGAGTTGACTGTCATCTTACGAGTGACATGCTTGGCTATTGTATTATCATGAATGGCATTGGTACGGCCGCTAGGAGCTACTCAAAATGATTAAATTTCCTGAAATTGTGTCATGTATGATATAGAGTGTCTTGACATTTCTGCATCGAACTGTCAAAGGAGAATCCCTTTGGCAAAAGTGGCTATCATCAAGTTGAATGCCAGTAAATTCCTTTGTCACTGATGACTATTACAGGAAAATGAAAAAGACCCTCACAGCTTACAAACAAAGAAACACACAAAACAAGCAGTTGAATTGGAGGGTAGAAAATGAAGTAAGATATTTACCAAAAGAAAATCGTGGTTGGAAATGTATTTGCTCTCAACTAAGCATTTGATCCCCCCTACTTTAACAGAGACGGAATTCTTGGAATTGCATGGTGTGCCCTGTCTGTGTGCCCCTGTGCACTTAGAAGAAGGAAAATGAATAAATAAAAACTAAAAAAGAGAAAACTCGGAAAATGTCCCTACATAACTTATGCATCAATTAACAATCTACTCAGTATCATACCAGTAATGCAGGCAACAAAATATCCAGTTCCCCCTAATCCTTCCTCCCACTTCCCAAGCCGCAAACGCAGGAAAAAGCCTTCAAGATGTGAGAGTGATATTTGCGAATCCATCCACCTGATGTTCATGTAGCATTAAAAATTCAAATGTATTAAATTTTAAGTAACATAAAAGACACTAGCAGCATACAGCCACCCTTCAATGAATCATATTTATTTCCCACTCTTTTAGATACTTCACAGTCAAGCTTTTATGGGTCAAAACGTGTATAAGAAAGCAGGAGGATGCTTTTAGTGGTATGCAATTTAGTGTCCCCATGTCTTCCTATTCTCCTGATGTCATCAGCCAGAACGACAAACACAGCGGCCAGAAACTCTGATTCTACAACCATTTGTCCTTGGATTGAATCTGTTACCTCTACCTTTAAGCAAAATATCTGACACAGCACAAGTTAAGAATGAATTTACTAATGAAAATGATGGTCTACTTACTTCAGGATATCCGTCCGCGACAAACGAAGCATCCTAACAGCATCGAAGATCGCCTTTGGCATATCTGAAACCTGCTGATTGATGAAATCACCCCAAGGTGTGATCTGGTTTTCTTTCAGCTCATTTTCCTTGGAACTGGAAGCTACATATTTCTTACTCGCATTGATCTTTGATCTCATTTTGTCTACAGTAAACCCATAATTAGTACTTGGGCCTTTTCCGATATCAATCCCATCACAAACTATACGTGCAGCTATACCTTCTTGGTTGTCATCTAAAAGTTTGTTAGTCTCTTCAAACCTTACATAACATTGCAGTTCATTGAGATTAGGCAAAGAAGCTCTACATGCTGATTGATTTTGACCTCTTGAGGATGTGTTAGGACACGCAACAGCCCAATGATCAAGCTCAAAGCATCTAATGCCCGCACAAGATAATTCATCCAATCTATTAGATGACTTCATATTCCTCAGAAGATCTTCAATCTCATTATCTCTTCTCTCTGGACAATATTGCAAATGATGGCCTTTTCTTTTGCAAAAGAAACAGGTGATAGCTGAAGAAGCTGTATTGTCTGACACACCAGAAGGCATGATGTGTTTGAGGGCATCTAATCTCCTAGCAAAAAGAGAAGTCATCACCTCTGAATCGTTAAATCTAGGGGAGGGTAAAATAGGGCTCACTTTACATTCAGATTGCTGGTCATTTTGGACTGTAATTTTATTGAAACCAATGGATTCCTCAATTTCAGTAGCACAATTCTGTAATTCTTTACCAGAGATGGTTAGTGGCTCTTCGTCAGATTGCTGCCTAGCCTCCAGAATCTTGAAATTGCTAGAAAAACTAACATTGTCCTGGGACCAAGGAATAAGCTTCATGCAGTCACTCGAGCACCCAACAGCACCACCAGCATCCTGGTTTAACAAGTTGCTAGAAGACTTAGGAGTAAATCGAGTTATCCACAAGCTACCTGGAAGGTTGCTTTTGTAACCGATGTTATGAACTGTCTTTCCATCGGATGGTGGGTCAGAATCATTGTTCTCAGTGTTCATCAACTTACGCTTACCCAAAGAAGAACTAAAGCTTGCTCTATCTTTCTCCACACCCACTGCCAAGTTGCATGAATTCTTATTCTCTGCAGAATTGTCCTCACTACTTTTACAGGGAGAAAAATTCTTGGATGAAATCTTTGGCTGGGTTGGTGGACCTGCTCTGCCACTAGAAATTGGTTCTTTGAGCTTTTCATTTGAAAGCAGAAGTACTTTATGGAAGTTAAAATTTTCTCTATGATAGGCAATTGGAGTAGCATCAATGTCACAAATCTTGTTAGTCAGCTCAAGTCCCGTTTGATAATTTTCATTTTGTGTTATTGTTCCTTGGACCTTAGTCTTTGGAGAATATATTGAGTGGAAAAAAGATTGAAACCCAATATTTCTGCACCCAGGTTCATGGTTCTTATGGCTTGTGTCAAGTTTCTTGTCAGGACTCTCATGCGACTGATTAGGATTTGCAACAGCAAGCGCCAAAGATGGTGCATTGTCTTTCGATTTCAAAAAACCTTTCATCATGTTTGATATCCAGTTCATGAAGGAGCTATCTTGTTTTTTAAATGATGATGAACAAGGACTTTCACTGCTTTGCTTTTTCACTCTTTTGCTTCCCACCATCAACTGTTGCTCAAAGCCCCACCGTTTTTTGCCGGTAGAGAATAATCCAGCACTATTACAACTTTCAACACTCTCATGGCTGTCATCCTCCTCTTTTGATATTATTCCTTTAACATCGCCATCAGATAAAGCTTTTTCCTTTCCTTTTCTTCTATATCTACGGATGCTGCTGTGAGTGGCAGAATGTTCATCAGTGGACATCTTCTCTGGTGACATCTCCTTAGGGTGCTGAGAGTTCTTTTCAGCTTCAGATGCAGATTCTGAACCTGAAATTTTACTTGTTGCAACACATGCATCACCAATGGCCTGCAAATCATTTTCAGCAGTTGCCTCCAGTTTTTCTGTAGGCCAATGACTAGAAGAAATGTCCCCCTTCATCTTACTTTTTCCCTTTTTCTCCATTAATGAAGTCAATTCATCCTGTTTTCTACCAGGGGATATCAGATTTTTCTCTGGAGGTCCACAAGCTTCACATTCATTGTGAGTTTGAACTTCAGATGCCAAGACCATCTCCATTCTTGACAACTGAGTCCCACTGCCAACATCTCTGGCTTCATTGGCAGGATTGTTGAACAAAGATTCAATCTGTGCCTCATTCAGTTTCCTTTCATCTGTTGCTTGTCAAGAAAAGAATATATCAGTTACATGTCAACTCTATTCAACTAAAGAAAGTCAAAATAGATATGTATATACATATATCTGTAACATTTTATCACACAAAACAGAAGCTGTGAGACTTTCTAGGACATTTTACTTTCTCAAAGTACTAAATAAGCGAAAAAGTCAGCATCTTCAAGCACCTGGTGAACTTCGAAAATTGTTTTCCATTGCCTCAGCTATTTCGGCGACTTGGCTATTGTCTCTACAATATAAATATGCTCCTTTAGAATCTCCTAGATCATTCTCTTCAATTAGATTATCATCAGATTCTCCTCTCTTTGTGCTTATCTCCTCTAGAAAGCCAGCAGTTCCTGCAGAAGAAGAGTTTCTTGGCAATTTTAGGGCAAAAGGAGGGAAAGATTCGATAAGATAAAAATAAAAATAAAAACTAAATAATTTATACAAACTTAACATGCCTTGGAAAGTATTATCATTTTCTGTCTGCTTTTCATGACACAACCTGATGCCATCATTATCCCTAGCAGATTTGTCCAAGTTATTTATATTGGTAACTTTAGTATTCATATCATGAAATGTGGATATGGATGTATTGAAATTTTCTTCATCTATAGGCTTGTCATTACTTGACCTCGCAGATTTATTAATTTGTTGTGGTGAAAGAACCACATTGCTTGGTCCTGCACCCAAAACAATGGAATGTTTTTTATCAGAAAAGCTGCAGTCAGTACATTTGAGACTGGGACCTTTCTGTGGAGACCAAACTAATTCTGACAAGGGGTCGGTGGCCACAACTTTCACGTCTATCCTTGAAGCTGCATTTGCACCTGCACCGAGATCATTGCTCAATATTCTCTGAATCTTGTGATTGGAATACCCCAGAGCAAGTCCTAAATCAGTCACCAGATCTACGTTCTCATTTTCCACGTTCATTTTTGTTGAATGGCCCCTTCAGTTTGCAACCCTGAAATGAAAGTTAATGTCAGGTCTAAATTCTTACAGTGAATAATTACTAAAGCTGACAGCCCTTGTCCAAAAAACAAATTAACAATGAAACAAGATTTTTTTTGTTTGTTAGGCATTAAAAAAATAAATATTCAAGTCTATGGAACGGAAGTACGGGTAATGTTATCTAGAATCAGTGACAACAACCCAAAGTAAGATAGTATGCAAAAAAGACTAATTTATCTCATTCTGAGAATCGTCCAATTCTCTAATCCACTCATATAGTACATTACTGCATGATAAAGTCTTAAATTTTTGTCTACCTACATCAGCAACAGTTGAATTCCTTTTTAAATAAAATTATATGCTGCTAAAGAACATGTCATAGCAAATTCAGAAAAGCATTGATCAAAGCTAATTTGTCTGTAACAGAGCAGGTTAATTAGTAGTTTGGTCCGATATATAATAGAGTGGGCCACCGTGCATATGCAACTTAATTAACAAGTCATTGGACTTTTTGCAAAAACTTCATTAGCGACTACAAGAGTGAGGATGTTGGAAGAGCCACAAGAAAAATCAAATCAAATGCAATTCTATCATGGAAATCCAATATTAACCATTCCAATTTCATTTTAGCAGCTGAATGGTAGTCAAAAGGCATGACAACTTGAATGTCCAGGAGTTGGCAGCGTTGCACAGGATAAATGCTTACAGTTCCCACAGTACCAACATTAAAATTTGAGCCTCCACTCAAATAGCATGCATGCTGGACAGACTCTTGGAGGTTGCGGGTTCAAGTAGACCTAGACGCGTAATGCCTTCCTCAGGTGAGTTAAGTAGATAGGTGTTGGGAGATTAAGGGTAGATTAGGAATTACAAAAAATCCCTTTGCATGAAAATTTGCATTTTAAAAAACATATTCATTTTCTTCTATGCATTCCCTGGTATATCCACCACTCAATCCATGCATATCTGAGCTCTATAGATATTTAAATGCTGCTAGTGACTAATTTCTTATCTCAAAGACCACATAGAAATGAATTCTAGTGAAACAGTACATTGAGTTCAATAAAAATCCAAAAACAAAATAAGGTCCTATACCCTAAAATATTTTGCTAAAATCAATAGTAGTTTTGATGTTCGTCTATCATTCAGTTAATATTTAGGGATCAAACTACAAGCAAAGGCTGCATGTGTAGCACCACAAGCCAAAAGCAAGTCTTCCAGTGGTCAATTGACATTGTTGCTCCAAAGAAAGCAAGTTCATATAACCATGAATGCTATTGATGCAGCTTATTTGTTATTTATTTGGCATAGGTTTAGTTGAGGTTAACCTTAGAATTTTTTACATAAATTGGCTTCTCTTGAACCTCAATCATGTGTGGCAAAAAAAAAAAAACAAACCTCAATCCTGTAATCATTTGAACAATTGCACCAGAAACCAGTCCATTTTATACATGTTTCCAAAACAAGCACGTGATTATATCTACTTCCCCACAAAAATATTAAGCTTAATGACTGAATTACTTGAACTCTCTGCGTAGTGGACTTAATTAAGAAAAACAAACAAACCAAGCAACATGAAAATATAGCAAAATACAGAGAACTTTTTTTTTTATAATTTTTTTATACAAAAGCAAGAATAGATAAAGAGCTTGCAAGTGCTAAAATTCAAACCTAAACCTACTGAGAACCATTTATTAAGAGTGATTACATTAATCAACGGTTTGACAATTTCTTATTTTCACTGAAAATATCTTCCTAATAATATGATTCAAACTTTGCATGGCTCACAGATAACAAGATTCAATGCAATTGAAATAAACGTGCAAAAGAGAGAGGGGAAGTGAGATAACAATTTATCTACTCCATATGCACCAGAAAAAAAAAAAAGTTATCCACCACATAAATTAAATGCTGAACAATAATGGCAGTAAAATTTGTAAAGGTAAATCATCAAGAAACCAATCAAGCAAAGTTATGAGTATGACATAGCAAAAACATGAAGCAAATTACACAAAGGAACATCATATCAAGTTCAGACAAATGCAGATTTCAGAAAGCAAGAGATGAACCTAAAAATTTACAGCAAAAACCTCCACAAATTGAGATAATACCCGAGTGAGAAAAGATGCCTGATCTATGGAGACCCACATACCTCTTGCAACTTAAATCCGTGGAAGATATAGCAAATTCTTTTTGCAGCTTCTCTTTATTACAACCCTGAAAAAGAAAACTACTAACAAAAGGGTACACAACAAAAGAAGAAAAAAATTTATGTGTGAAAAAGAGAGAAGCAAGTTTTCAGCCTTAGTGAGTGCCTGCCATGCGGCATACTTACAACAACAGTTACATGAAGTTGTCCTTCAACTTTTACTTAGATTCTTAATATAAGGTTCAGGGCTTGCCACGTGCACTCATTGGATACCAATGACACTAATCGGGAGATTACGTTATCTCTTTTGATAGCCAAAACTGCTTTCGATCTTCATTTAAAAAATATAGAAAACAAAGAGGTTATAAAAAACTACTCTTCTTTTCTTTTTCCAATGATTGCTTTTGCAATTTTCTGAACTCCCAAACAGCAAAAGAGGGTTGTTAGTTAGTTAATTAATTACAATTAAGAGAGGATTATGTCTTTCTTTTTGCTTTTGGCCTTTTTTAAGGGGGATCAAATCATATTACTTTATTATTTTTAAGCCTACACCATCTTACTTAACTTGATTACATTCTTTAATACCATTGACCAAAAGTCAAAACTACATTTTCTTGTGCACATAGCTTTTTTTCCCCCTTTGAAGAATGTTGCATAATTCAAAGGATTAATATTACAAAGATTCATGAATTATAATAAAATATTAATATAATATTTAAATTTAAAATTTTTTTAATATAATATAATATAATATAACATCTTATGCATTTGTCGTATCAGGATGAGCAGCAGATTGAAAGGACCATATTTATTTGGTATTTGCCAATTTTAGTTTCCAATCATTGTTTGCACGCAGAGATGTATTTGGTGAGAATATTTCTGGAAAAAAAGTACAGTGCTTATATGAAAACGGTAATAGAAATAGCCATCCACAATGGTGAGGTGAATTATTTTTCTTAAAATTTTTATTATTATTATTTATCAATTTTATTATTATTTTATTAGATAATTTAATAAAAATATTATAATAATTTTTAAATAAAATATTATATGTCAACTTCTTATAATGTTTTTGAAATTATGATAAAAATATTATAATAATTTTAACTAGTTTTGTTAACATAAACATCATAGTAATGTTAATTAATTGTAATAAAATGAAAATTTTCGTAATTATAATAAAAATTACATTATAATCATTTAAAACACGTGTCAACTCCTTGTCAAAGAATAATAAGAACATTTTGATAATCTTAATGAAATATTAGTAATTTAATATATAATTAATTTTATATTATGTTAAAATTTAATATATATAATTAAATAAAGGTATTAGCAACTTTCAAATAAAAATGCACATGTCAAATTTTTATGGAATGATGGCAAATGTATCTTAGTAATTTAATGTGATTAATTTTATTTTATATTAAAATTTAAAACATAATTTAATAAAGATATTATAATAATTTTAAACAAAATATCACTTTTCAACTTCTCATGAAAAAATCATAAAAGGTATTTTGATAATTATACTACGAAATATTACGATAATTTTGATCTAGTAAAAGGGGTATTTATGTATTTATGATAATAAGAGTATTATAATAATTTTAATTAATTATGATTAGGAGATATTTTTGTAATTACAGCTTATTATAATTTTGTTATGAATGGAAGGACATTTTTATAATTATAACAAAAGAAATATTACAATCATTTTAACTATAGGTAAAAGCTCATTATTAACCAAACTAAGAGGCATTTCAGAAATCTCCAAGGGAGATTACTTTAAATATAGTTCATTGGTTCAAAAAATATTTGTAAAATCATGAATAATCAAAGTTAGATTTGTTGACTAACACCAAAAAGCAATTTTCCTCTTCATTCCATGAACAAGTTCAAAACAGCTTTGTATTCTTTAGAACTGGATTTTTTTTAGACAATATCTTAAGAAGAAGATCAAAAATTCAAATAAATGGCAAATATATATATATATATATGAATAACCATTTTTCAACCCTTTGATTCTCATTAATTGAGTGTGGTAAAGAAGAAAATTATAGTCTTAGAATATTATACATGAAAAAAGTACAAGCATTGCATTGTCGTTTTTAGCATATGAATCACATTGTATTCAATAATGCATTATCTTCTGATTTTTTTTTTAGATATAATCATATAATTCACAGAAACTACATCTTGTATGCATATATGTGGCGGCATATCTTTATGCATGAAATTGCTATAATTACCTTGTTTTTCACATTCTACTTAATTGAGCTATTATTTATAGCATTTCATATTTCGTTTTGAAATTTAATGCATTATACTTACGAAGCATTGCGCGCAATGCTGATATGAGAGAATACACTCTTAAGATTATTCGAAAAAAAAATTTTTAAAAAATGAAAATACCCCTAACCGTATTATAAAAAATTTATAAATATTTATGTATGTCATGTATATTGGTACAAGTAACTATATTTTACACCAAAACAAAAAGGTAGGGATCGATCCTTTCAGATAATGATAATAGGCAATTTGATTGAATGATGTTGATATTCAGATATTGTCGAATTGGAGGAGAGGTCCCCAATCCCCAATTTCACAAATGAATAAATTTCATTGGTGTTAGGGAACCGGATTTTCTGGTCCTGTATCTACCACCACCAGCCTGAGTCTGGACCATCTCAAAGCCACTAAATTAAAGCTCTACCCACTAGAAGGTAAGAAAGTGGGATGGTTACCGTCAAAGCTTTTGTTTATCCATTGGGACATGACATGAGGCATAGGAACCAAGCATTTCTGATGTTGTTGAATGATCCACAACAGAGGTTTCTATCCCCATAAAGCTCCTATAAGAATTGGTTGTTTGTGATTGGTTTTCCTATGATTGTCACCTTCAAACCTTGATAATGGCGAAGGTATTTCCCACACACCATTTTTAAAGTAGCAATCATTGTTGAAAGATCCCAATAATATGAGTCATTATCTGAAGCTAATATGAAAGCATAGTGTATTAGTGTAAATATGCTTCCGTTTGGAGTTTTTTGCGCATTAAAGTACAGTTTCATAGCCATTCGAATTTATTAAAGCAATAATTAAAGTAAGATTCATTGTTTAGTTAGAACAAACCACCATGAAAATGGTTTATGATGACTACAGAATTTCAGATGGAGCTTGAAACTTTGAGACCAACTTGTCACCATAGATCATTTATGGTGGACGATATTGGTCAAATCAGCAGTATAAATCCTTCAGTTCCATTGTAGGTATTATGGGAGCAGTGCATAAATAACTAAAATAAGAGAGTTGGAGAGATGACATATTTGGTGCATTTCACTAATAATTTTTTTTCTATAATTTTATCATTGTTTGTTTAATTACAATAAAAATTTATATGAAAATCTACTATTTATAAGTATAAATTTTATATAAAATTTTAACATCACGTATAATTTTGAAATGTAATTAATTAATTATAATTTAATGCTCTCTGACCTATTCGAAAGGACAACCGAAGGTTCAACTTGGTCGTGGAATTAACCAATGCTGGCGATGGGAGTGGTTTCAATCTTTCACATTTAATGACTCTTTGAATAAAACCGAACACTCGATCATAGAATGGACAGTAGGTCAGATGTCTTTGGGTTGATATTAATTGGCCTTTTGAAGTGTCAGAGGGCAGAGAAAAAAAACTGAGGAAGAGGCAAAACCAAAAGTTTCAACTTTCAATTAATGTTAATCATGGTGAAGAATTAATCACCAGTAATAATAAATGTTTTCTTCCTGTAATAAAGAATCCCAATGTCATAAAAGAATATGTTTAAACTCAAAATTTGATCGTATCTTTGTTTCTGTAAATGTCTTTGCCTTGGGCAATTTGACTGCAAAATGCCGTGTTAAGCTGACCTTTTTGTTTTCTGAAGAATCCAAAGGGGATGGCCCAGCAAGTGCGTAAGGTAGAACAAGTCAACTTTGGCAACTTTGGTTCAGCCATGTTGTAAAAGCATTCCAAAGCATGTAGACCCTACCACATTTTAGGGCCGGGAAGAACACAAACAAAACCTCTTTTATTATTGTGTTGGATTTGCTTTTTCTCTTTTTCCTTTTATCTAAGTAAATAGAAGATTCAAGTTTATTAATCCTACGATAGATGGTAGAAAGTTTTAACTCTTGTTATTGTAGATGCCAGTAGCAAAGCAGGGCCGGGTGAACACATCAACCGACATGGAAATAGAGCATGTCGGAATCTTTCAGCCTTTGAATCATCAGCTCCAGCTTGCAAGCTTTTAAAGTTAATTGCTCTTAGGCTAGAGGAGATGCATCTGATTCTTTTCTTTCAATTTTTGACATCATTATCTAATCTGCCAGAATTGGTACAAAAACTTGAATGGTTTTTACCAAGAGGTTTACAGTCGGTATGCCATTTGAAGGGAATAGTTGTTTGGAGGACAAAACATGGTGAGAGAGAAAAAAAAAATAAACTGATAACTTTAAACATGACTGACTAATAAGATATAAAAATGATAAAAAAAAAATCCAAAACGAATACGATTTAAAATTTTAAACAAAACCACACATGAATTAAGTACAAACCAAAAATCATAAACACGAATTATAATACAATAATTTTAATATTTTATACATGTTAAATACAAAATAAACATACACTACATTAATTGACAATTTAAAAAAAAAAATCCACTTCAATATAAGAAGATGGTAAATAAAAATAATACATAATTATCTGAATTAATAGGAATGGATGCAGTACTATTTTAATAACATGTTACGGAATCTTTAAAAACCAAAGACAACTATAATATCCTCACTGTAAAGCTCTCACCGTCGGGCAATCCTCTGCCCTGCTCCAAGCAACAATGCCTTCCCAATTATACCCGAGTGGAGTCCAAAAACCAGCGCCACAGTTCCACCTACAGCGATCCACTTCCAATCAAGGCCATTACCATTCTTCCCCCTAATAACCATAGTTTGATCTATTTCATCTTCCACAGAAACGGGACCAAGAAAATCCATGCTCTCATCAGAAGAAATTTTTGTGGTAATTCTTGCCATCTGTGCGCATCTAGACAAGGAAGTGTCTGTTTTCCTTGCATTCTGGTATGCCCTCATGCCAGAGTGCAATTTCTTTACGGTTCCCCACATCCCATGACGAACACCTAATTTTGCCACATCTTTTGGGATCCCCATGTCTTCATAATGTACAAGATTAACCTCACAAGCAGATAGCTGTCCATCTCCTTTTCGGGACTCCACTGCATCACAAATTAGATAATAAAGATGTGACTGTCACTAGAAATGTCCAAACTATTATTGCTAGAATCAAAAGTTTGAATGACAGACTTACCAGCCCTTATAACCCAACTCGAAAAGTAAAGCTCCACACGTCTTGGCTTGTCACGCTTCTGCAAACCAGGATATGGCACCCCCTGAAACATTAGAGCTTGAATGTTAATATTTTTAACACCCTCGTACAAAAACATACAATGCATTAGATGTAGTAATCTACGTTTTTCCACTGCTCAAATCATAATACATGCACATGACATTAAACAGGCTCGAGATGGGCCACTCAAGCATCTTCAGAAGTACACTAGGAGAATACATGAGATTATGCAAAACAAATAAACAGATGCAGAATGAATAGCACATAAAAATTAGTCAATTGATGATCAAGATCAACTGCAGCATCTAATAAGTGCTAGTTGAAGTCATTTATTTAGGTATAATTATTGCCATAAATAATTGTTAGTCATGCTTTCCATTCCACCGATATGGTCATTCCAATCACCTTAGCTTAACAAAAATCAAACACCCCACCCTTCACCATTCCTGTTCCCCACCCCCTTTTATACAGCAATACCACCAGACGCCTTCACAGCAACTCCATAAGGAGTATAGATTTACTGATAGTTATTGGATCAAACTAAACATTAGAACATTATAACCTGTACCTTTGTCACACAATAGTAGGTCTTTCCAGCCTCCCATATTCTTCGACCAATTATGTACTCTCGATCACGGCAAAAAAAGGGGAACTAAAAAAAGATGAAACAAGTCAAGATATTAAGTCCATACGTAGTCTTGAACAAGATGCAATTTAAAGCTTATTACTCCAAAACATCAGTAAACAAAATTATTGGAACAATTCATTTCATCTACCTTTCTTATCCAGTGAACAATCATTGTCCCTGTAAGAGGGCACTCTTCCAAAATTTTAACATATGCAAACATGGTATCCCACTTTGGTCGGAACTCATCATCCCAGAAGAAGTCACTAACCACCTCTGGTGTTGCATCCTCAAAGACAGTTCTACTATGGTAAACTGCAGGGCCATTCTGTAAACAAAATCACCATAAGGAAGAAATAAATCTTGTGGCCTTTATGAGCATCAGGTATCATATAATGCATGATCAAACATGGAATTCCATCCAACAGAAACAAAACACAAAGAAATGGTAAAGTATCATGTAAGCCATCTGGCATTTTGCATCCTCAGACCTAATAACCTGTAAAAATTTGAAAAATAAAAAAAGCTTAAGTTCAGCCATAAATATAAGGCTAAGTGACTAATGGAATGTGATGCTCACAAGATCTCAAAGCAATGCAATACATAATACTATAAAGAAGAAATTTCCATGAGAAAGCTGGAAACCATACAAGATCACAGGAAAGTAAATTGCAGTGAATCTCCCAAATTCCACCCACCTCTCTTTCTCTCTAATAGGAGAGAGAACAAAAAAAAGCATCAGTAAATTTCTTCCTAAAACTATAATGTTCTCTGAGGCAAGTTTGACTTATTAGAGAATGACAGACCCTACAAGTTTTCATGGCAACTTTTTATGATAGTGGAAGAACATCAATTATCAGAAATCTACCTCAGGCTCATGGCGCCATGCTTGGTATAACATATTTGGGGTAGTCTTTTCCATCATACTTTGCCATTCCATCTCCCCATCCTTCCCTTCGAGAAAATGCAAGAGGTGCGCTAAGTCATTCTCTGTGACAATATCCTGCTGTCTTTCTTCAGCTTCACTGCTGGGGCTGTAAAGAAATAGGTATTAACAATGAATAAACTCATCCCTGAAAAAGCATTAACCATGCCAGTAGTAATACAACAAGATTATAATTACTGCAGCAATTAAAACAATAAAAGTATGACAGCACAAAAAACAAAGTTTTATGTCAAATTGAAAGCAAAGTAAAGATTTTAATTTAACAAATTCTGGAACAAGCAAAAAAAACCAGACAATTACAACCAAAACTTTTAAACTTCCATGAAATTCACCTCACAGAGTCAGCAAATAAGGAAGAGAAGGATGGAGAGATAAAGAGCTTGAACAGCAATTCTATTAAATAATAGTCAAACATGCATGCACTAACAAAAACACGCAAGAAAGAAATTTTCTGTGTATAGCCAAAACAAGTTAGGATATTTTCTTTTCAGCAAACAAACTCTACAACTGACATGTGACAACTTAACAACTAGATCATTTAAATCTTTTGGCATTAAAAGCTTAACTACAGAAATATGGTAGGCATCATCTGTCACTAGAGATTTACTGAATAAGTATATAAGGGTCCAGATCTCTAGCTCTAGAACAGTCACCTGATAATTTTTCAATGGACCAATAACTGTACCTAAGATTTCTACATTCAACCCCGCTATAGCAAAGTCATAAAACATGTTTGCCACAACATTCCAAATTCTTTTGGCCTTAACCATGAGTATCAAACAAATTTGCTCAAACAATTCTCAGGTCTTCCACACCAATCCCACAACTAATTTCATGTGGTATATTTCAAACCATATATACAGCATTTTTTTCCCAACTATTTCCTGACAAGTTCAATTTGCTCTCCAAATTCTTTTGGCCTTAACCATGAGTATCAAACAAATTTGCTCAAATAATTATCAGGTCTTCCACATCAATCCCACAACTAATTTCATGTGGTATATTTCAAACCATATATACAGCTTTTTTTCCCAACTAGTTCCTGACAAGTTCAGTTTGCTTTCTTCCCTATATCTTATGGATGATGCTCAAATGAACCTGGGGCTTGGCCCAGAATCCAGATGGTTAACCTGTGGATTTCCCGCAAGGCAGGGGTTCTAGTCCCAGCTCTTGCATTCCCCCTTCTCCAATATTGGAACATTGGCCCCCCTAAGAACCAGAAAAAAAGGATGATACTAAAATATTTAACATAAGACAGATCACCATTTTTGAACTCTCTCTTCAGGTCTTACGAGTCCTTAATTTTGATGAATTTCTTGTAACCACCTTTGTGGCATGCTAAATGTTGCACTGCATACTAAATATTACACATTTGGACAGAATTCTCATAAAACTCGCCCAAAATGGAAGGGTTAATCCATACTAAATTCTATCCATTAGCTAGGTGTTAAGAACAATTTGGCATTAGTAACTTGAACCACAAATCACCTGTCCTACCATTAGAGTAAGCTTTAAAGGAAAAACAGGTTCTTTAACAAGTAAAGAACATGAGCTTAAGTATCTTTGGATGTACTGCAGGTCGAAATCTTCTCGAACTATCCTGATTCCCTAACCATAAGACATATAAATTCTTCACTTACATATAACTAGCAATCAAGGATAATTACAAAAGCTTCAATATTAATAATTACAATGAACGCATAACCCCATTTTCATAATTAGGTCAAATTTAAGTTTAATTAGAAAGCCTAATTCATATTCACCTTAATACAAATCATATGGAATTAAAGAAACGAACCAACCACCATAATTTTTTTCTTAAGGAAAAAATTGGAAAAAGGATTTTTTTTAATTACATAAATACAAAAACCTAAAAAAAAGTATAAATACTACTAACCTAACAGTGCCAGCAGCTCCTTCCGGTGAAGTCATCCCCTTAGTTGACGGCGATGGCAATGGAAAGGCCGAATTTGAAGCCGTAGCAGTCGATTTGTTGGCTCTCCCTTTAATAAAGTTAGAGACAACCGTGCGGCAAACGGAGAAAGCGGAGAGAGCGGTGAAGGCGAGCCAAAGTCGGCGAGCTCCGAATCCGGGAGGGGCGGTCCAGATGAACCGAAACTTAGACCGGAGACCAAGAAAAACTAAGCTGGTCCACCTAGGACGCCAAGCCCAGCCGATCACGAGCCCGATCATAACGGCTAGCCATATCGGCACCGCGCATAGCAAAATGTCGACGAATGTTTCGGTTATCGTAGGTTTCTTCAAGAACTCCATTAGATCGAAGAAAGTCTCGTCCATTTTATCGCAACAAAATCAAAGAATTTTATGGTCTGTCTTTATTCGGCGAGATAAAGGACATGGATCTGCCTCGGCAGGAGATCCCCAGAAGAGAGCATTTCTTCCGGGTAGAGGGGAGATTTTTTTTTTTTTTTTTGAGCGGGGTTGGAGGTTGATTGGGACAATGTAGGATGACGTGGCGGTGTGAAGGCCGCTGATGGTTTTGGTAACTGTGCTTTGAGGGGCTTCGCCGGAAGTGGCGAGGCGTTTTGTTGATGGTGGAGTGCACGCGAAAGTGGGAGAGTGAGATTAGAGGGATGCAGTTAACGTGGATTTTGGAATAAGACTTTTTAAGGATTTTTTTTAATTACAGCTGGAGAATTGGTGCCGGCTACATTGCGACCTGTCATCCGCTTATTGTACGGCCTTTATGAAATACTTCGATTTTGACCACACGATATGACTGACATGATTTGCAGCCGTTGGATACAAAACCGTTAACCTGCATTTCCGGTTTCAAAAAAATCTTCGGAATAGATAAACTGAACTCTAGTTTAGACTTTAGATAAAATGGAAAAAGATTAGTACCAAAAAAACAACCGGAACAAGATAATAGTAGTTAATACAAACTGTTTTACCCTCTATATATTTTTTGAGAAAAAAAAAATTCAACCGTAAAAACTGTAGAAATATATTAATAAATTGATGTTGGTTAGTAGGTAGGATAATAAATAAGATAAAATAATAATTATTTTATATTATATTTAATTTATATCTTAAGAAATGATAAGATTTCAAGTAAGATTGATCACTTTTTTGCATATAATAATTAGATCATTTCAAAGTAGAAAAAAATATTTTTAATTTATTAGATTAAAATTTATATATTTTATTATGTTATTAAAAATTATATAAATTTTTTAAATTTTTTTAAAAATAATTTTAAATAATAAATAAATTATCATATTCAAATACTTACACATATCAAATATAAAATATAATAATATTATTTAATTTAATTTTATTAATAATATTATTTTATTTTATTTTATTATAATATTGTATATCAAATGTATTCTCAGTGTATGGAAGGCAAATGAAGTATGATATTGAGATTCAATGATTAAATGTAGTAAAAATAAAAGAAAATGGCTTCAACCTAAAAAATAAATAAAGGCCTATAAAATATTCCTTTAAATTGAATGCCCAAAATTTAGGAATTAATCAAGCCTATTATTGATGTTTCTTGAATTTTAACAGTATTTAAGGCTTTATATGAATATTAGATTTGATAATATTAAATATAATATGATAATATTATAAAAATAATACGAAAAAAATATAAAAGTAATACTATTTAAAATTTTAGTAAAAATTATATATTGATTTATAAAAATAAAAAATATATATTTTATGTTTAATATATTAATATGAATTATGATACGATAATTTTTATATTTTATATATATTTAATATGAAATAAATATGATACTGATATATAAATTACAATATCTAATTAAAATGTATAAAAAGCTCATTATTAGGAACTCTTTTGATGAACATAATTAGGAAATTATGGTCTGATAATACTTAAACAAAATCTTATTTACTTCGGTTAATTTAGAAAAAATAAATTAGGTGGAATGGAACCATTAAAAAATATTTCATATCATGATGAAAGCAAACAAACTTTTTGGATTTCTTTAGTTCATATATATGGATATATGTGGACTCCATCAATTATTTGGTTGGAAGTCATTAGATTCTTTTTTACCATATATAAATTAGTGGAAAAAAAAAAAGCATTTGACTCAATAATTGATGTTCGATCTCTTTGCTTAAAGAGTAAAGTTTTAATATCACTTGCTCTAAATAAAAAAAATAAATAAAGATTAAAGAGGTAAGAATTGATGGAGAAAACTTTGACTTGGTTAATATGTTTTATATTTTTCAGAAGCTATGTATAAGCAAACAAACATTACAAATCCATAATTTATTTTTTATTTTTCGTGTAAGTTACTTTACTCTTATGGGGAGAAAAAAGTTTATGAATTATTTTGCTTCTAGATAAAATAATATGAACAGTGCATTCATTTTTGAAAGAATATTTTTAATTTATTTGTTGATTACACCTTTTAAAAAGTTGGACAAATGTGAAATGTAAAGTTGATAAGCTCATCTAAATTTAAAAATTCCTAAAATTTGTTCGAATTCGATTTAAATTTGATTTAAATAATCAATAATTTTAATCCATCCAATTTTAATGCAAAAAAACTTGATCTTGAAATAATGCAAACTTGAATAATAAAAGATACTAACTTGAAATGATTTAAAGTTAAATTGATTCAATTTTAAAATTCAATAATTTAAGTATCGAGCACGAAAGATTATGAACTTAAAATAATCGAAACTCAAAATAATTTAAATGCAAAATGACTTTAATTTTATTTGACCTAAAATAACCTTACTCAATCCACTCAATTATCATCTCTAGTGGAATGTAAACAATCTTAATCTGTACATGTGTATTATTTGATGCAGAGTGAATGATAGATTCGTTTTTTATTTTTTTTAAAGTTAATAGGATTCATTATATTAAGTATTTTTAATATAAAGATTGCATCAGTTGTATTAAGTAATTACAGGATGGAACATAAAAAAATGTTTATGTATTAATGAAAGAAAAGCTTAGTCCAGTCTAATGGTTGGGGAAATTGACATAAATATCCATAATTTATCTAAGATAAAATAAAGATAGATTTAATAATTTAAAATATATATGATGATACAAAATAAAAATATATAATTTAAAATTTTAATAAAAATTATATATAAAATTTTAAAAGCGAATGATACAACATAAATTTTTTTATAAAATTTAATATAATTATATAAATTATTAATATTTTATGTCATATAAATATAAAAATTATCTGATAATGTACGTAGAGTGTATATTAAAATAAATTGTAGACATCAATATTTATTAATCTGAATGGGTAAAAAATTTAATTTTTTTAATAATATTTCGATTTTGAATTTTATTAATAAAAAAAATAAGTTTAAAAAAATTTGTTCTCTTTTTTAGGTTCAATCCGATACAATTTTAAATTAATCTAAATTAAAAAACGGGGAAAAGTGAAGTATAAAATGGACTAATAAATTATATCTCATGTCGGGAACTGAAACTGGAAATGCAGGTCAAACGATTGTTGGAAAGTCAGAATAATTTTGAATCCAATGGCTACAGATCATGCTGTCATTATCGTGTGGCCAATAAATTAGATGCTGCTTCTGACGGTCGGGGAGTGAGGTGCCATTAGGGGTGTAAATGATACATTAGTACTCGCAAGCTACTCGGGTTCGATTCGAAAAAAACTCGAATTCGGTTCGATTATTGTCGAGTCGAGCTCGAGCTCGAGTAGCTCGATTTATCGATCGAACCGAATTCGAGTATTATTATATCTGACTCGAGTAGCTCGCGAGCCTAATCGAGCTTTTATATTTAAATATATTTTTATTATTTTAATTAATAAAATATTTCGAGTCCGAGTTCGAGTTCGAGTTCGAGCATGAATAATCGAATTTTTGTCGAGTATACGAATCGAGCTTAATCGAGCGAGCTCGAGTAGCTCGAATTCGATCACGAATCGAGCTCGAGCTTGAAAAGTAAAACTCGATCGAGCTCGAGCCGAGTATCGAGCCTCGAGTTGTAAGTCGAGCTCGAGCTCGAGCCTCTCACTACTCGACTCGGCTCGGCTCGTTTACAGCCCTAGGTGCCATGGCCAATCACAATTGGCCGCGTGTTAACGTTGATAAATTTTCAATGAAATTTACTTTCTGAGAATCCATTTTATTATTTATCTATACTATTATATATTTTGTATTTATACTAATCTAAGTTAATATTAAAAACTGATTGAATGGGTTGTTACCACAAGTCAATTGGACACCACTTCAATTTTTAAAATTATATAAAAATTAAATTAATGTTATAATAATAAAATAAAATTAAGGATATTTTTATTTTTATTTTAAAAAATTAATATATTATTTTGTAAAAAATAATTTTTCCAAAACATTTCTTTTACCTACAAAGTAGATAAGATAAAATATGCTATTATCTATTTATTATTATTATTATTATTATTATTATTATTTTGCAAAAGAAGACATCCTTGGAGATGGAAGAAAAGATTATAGCACTAAAATTTGAATTTTAAATTTATTGAATATTATATTTTTATGATAATTACATGAATTAATTAAATTAAGATTTGAGTTAATTTATTTATTGATTTTTGACACACCTTATGTGGATGAGAAAAAAATTTTAAAAAAAATTATGAAAAAAAAGTTTCTTAAGTTGAATGGGTATTTTTTTAAATACTTGGGTATTAAAAAGCATTTTTATTTTAAAGTATTATAAACTAATTGGTGTAATTTGATTTGTGATATCAATTCAGTTAGAGTTTTTAAAAGGTTTAATATCCAAATAAGCCCTCAAACTTTACATTAAAATACAAATAAATTTTTAATTTTTTATTACATGAAATTAAAATTATAAACTTTTATTTTATTGTAATTAGAATCTAGATGGTATAAATTATTCAATTTTTTATTTTATTTTTTAATTTGTAATAATACTTAGATTTATTTGGATATTGTTAAATGACCAAAATTTAACATAATACTATTTTATAATTTTATCAATTAGACATTATTCATCTAATTTTAAGATTTAATGAGTATAATTATAATAAAATAAAAGTTTATAATTTTAATTTTATGCAATAAAAATACCAATGGTCCTTTTTTTTTTTTTTGCATTTTAAAGTAAAGTTCGCGACTTTGTTTGGATATTAAACATTTTAAAAATAATATATACACTAATACTAATATTAAAATATCTACTCAGATTATGTTTGATATATAAAATAATGAATATGATAAATGTTAATTATTTTGTATTATATTTGATTTGTATATAAAGGAATGATAGAATTACATGGAAAATTAATTTTTTTTAATATAGGATGATTTAATTTTTTCAAAGTAGAGATAATTATTTTAATTCATGAGATTAAACTTAAATATTTTATTAGTTCAAAAAATTACTTAAAACTCAAATTAAAAATAATAAACAAAAGTCAAATTTTCATTATTTTAGTCAAAAATTTTCCATTGTGATAAGATAGGTTTTACAAATTCAACTATTTTAACTTTAATTTTTCTTTTAAACCATTTTTATTAACAAGTATATTTGAGAACTACCTATAAAAACAAAATTTTCTATTGCAGACTTTATTAAAAATATTATACTTGACCACTTTATTGTTTTTTTT